CTAAAACAAGCATGTTGTGATTGGTGAGGATGTTGCAGATATGAAAACCAGGTGAAATATAGCTGGTTACTTTTCCTCAGCTCTGGCTTACAAGTTGTTTTAAGGGATTAATGAAAAGTCTTGCTTTCAGGTCTTAGCACAGCGATAGGAAGTAAGTGCTGGCCATGCGGTGGGTTGTGTGATACAGATTGCTGGTCACCCCTCAGGTGATGCCCTTCACAGCCCCTGGCCTGTGATCAGCTCTCACCTTACTGCCTTCATTATTTACTTCTTCAAGTGCTCTGCTCTGTGGAATTGCTTTGTCACAGTGCTTCAGCACCAAAGGTGCAAGTTGAAGCATTCATAAGAATTTTTTTTGGTGCTAATAATAGATCTCTATGTCTCCGTGTGAAGAGTTTGCTACCTGAGTCAGACACGGGGCTGTCTGTTTGTTTTCTGATGGTGCAAAGCAATTAAAACCTTCATCCCTTTTGAAGTCAGCTGGTGAGATGGGCCTCCAGCTTCCCAGAATCTGCCTCTAGGCTGATTACATAAACTATTCATTACTTGTGAGAAAGCAGGATAGAAATTTGGACTCTCTAACTGTATAAACATCATCCTTCAGGAGAAGAGCAGGGGAACCAGTTCTTTTCTGGTTACCTTCGGAGAGCGGCCTGCCAGCAGTGTGCAGGATGGGTGAGGTGAGAGGGAGCTGCTGAGGCGCTGCAGGATCAGGCTGACGTGGGGATGCGAGACAGGTGGCGAGGAGCAGAGAGGGGCAAAATCGGTATTTAACACCACAAAGCTGCTCAGTTTGGCCTAGGCACAACATTGCTTCTGCCAACAGCAGCTACAGCGTTCCAGAAATACAGACCTCCCTCCTGAGCCAAGGCGTCTCGTTTTATTTTAAACCCTTCTTTCCCGGGCAAGGCTCAGCAGAGAAGAGGTAGCACACAGCAAAACACTGCCTTCTCTGGGTCTGGGAGAGAGGAATGGGATGAAGGAGTGGTACCAGCAGATCCCAGCTGTGTCCAGGTCAAGAGAAAGCTGAGGAGAGTGGAAGGAAAGCTGCAGCTGTGGGAGGAGAAGCAGCAGCTTACCTTGGGTCAGAGTACAGGAAGGCCAAAGAGGAGAATCACGCATACAGATTTTAACCTTAATTTCACACGTGATGTGACCACTGGTTAGGAGCATTGAAGATTCTTTCTCGCTCCAATACCAGTAAATACCTTTTTGCTCAACACTGTAAACTGAAGGTGAAGTGAAAACATTTCTGCATCCCCAGAGTGAAAATGAGTGTAAAGGGTGGTAAATGCAGGATGGAGGGGGAAAAAGTAATGGGTAGAAATAATGTGGTTTGAAAATAGGGCAAAGTCTTAAAGTGAGAATTAGGAAGATGCCAGGAGCACAAATCAGCTAAAATTTAGTTACTAGCCTGAGAATTGTGTTAGAGCATCTCCACCTACTAAGCCAAGCTCTGAAGCATCCCCTGCAGCTTTTTTTAGTTTCTACAATAGATTTGGAAAGATCAAAGTCTCAACACCATCAACAAATTTTCCTTAAGCCTCAAGATGACTTCTTTTAGTGAGATATTTGAAAGCAGGCACAAAAGAATTATCACATTTTTTGAAGGCCTCTGTTCTCATTTGCACGGGTGGGGACAATGCATTGGGACGAAGTGCAGGAAGGATGCCTGCTGACCACTATTATTCCCTTTCTGGGACCAAAGAAAGCATTGTATGAAAGCTTTCTTTTGGGACACTGTCACCGTCAGGCTGAGCAGCTAGCTTTGTGCACACTGTTGTTTTATGCATGAAGCCATCTAGTAGGATGGCATGTCCATTCACTGAGGGTTCGTGTAGGGTGTAATAGTAATGAGTGAATATGATCAAAAGAAATGGAAAAGGAAGAGCTTTATTTACGATGTTGAGAAGCTTTTACCATATGGAAATGATCAGAATTTAAATTTTTATCATCTGTCACAATTTGCTGCTGCTGCTTTAATTAAAATAACACCATGAATACGTACGGTGAGTCTGGCAAGATGTGCTTCGTGCTGTTAATGACTGTCAGATGCTAAGGCAAAGGGACACAGAGGGGGCACAGTGGAGGGAAGATCCTGAGGGAGACAGTGCCAGATGGCTGGGCTTATTTTATTAATTTAGCTCTGCGTTCTGGCCTCTTGTCTTCCTTTCTCCCAAGGATGGGTTGCTTCACTGGCAGTCACTTCACATCATGGTACGACGTGTTTAACTCTCAGAGCACTGCAGCAGCAAGGGGAGCTCACCAGCCCCGTGTGCCCTTGCTCTGTAGCCCTGAGGATCAGGTGGTCAGTGTTGTTCCTTCCAGCTGTCACATCCTCTGCGACCCTCTGCTATGTGGCCTAGCAGCAGAGCCAGCTGCTGTCCTAAACCACTTCCAGCCTCTCTCCCTGTGTGTGGGCCCCAAGGAGCATTTCGAGCAGCTCTTTGCCCTGTTGCAAAACCTTCTTGCTTGATGCTTCTTCCAGCTGCCTGGGCATCCAGAAAGCACAGCAAAGGCCTGGGAGTCAAAGTAGGTGATTTTTTTTTACACTTCAGTTTTGTCTCCTCGCCTGGTACTGCAGCGTCGGCCGCCTCCATGTGGGTGTTGTGTGGAACTGCTCTGAGCTGGTGATCATTAGGTATTAATTAAGTTTTGACATCCAGAGGAAAAAAGAGGGAAAGGAATCTTCTGACAAAACCTATTCTGAACAGGCTAAAGCAAGGAGAGGAGACTTTTGGTTTCTTCCCCTTCTCTGTGATGGCAGAGAAGCTCTGATGGATCAGATCTCCTGCTGTATTGGTGGCTGTCAATTTAGTATTAGAAACAAAATGAGCTTGTGCTCTATTATTAAAAAAATAATCTGGAAGTTTTTTGAGTTCCTGAAATCTCTATAAAATTTTGGCTTAATTAATTATTATCTATTTATTAAGAACATGTATCACATTTAAGTTGTCTTGGCTGCCAGTAAAGCAATTAGTGAGATTATTTTTGATCACGATACAATAGCTGGAACACATGTCAAGATGCATGCCAATGGTCCATGAGTTTGGTAAGGCTGAAAAATCCCAAACCACCTGAATTCACCCCAAAAATCCATGGTATGATCGAAATACTGTGGCACCCCTTTGCACTGCTCTTTTCATCCCCTTCACTGTCACCCTTTAAATTCTGCTTGACTCTTTTCAGCAGCAGTAACTCCTGAGAGGCAGTTCCTGTTGCCCATCAGGTAGTGACCAACTGGGTTGGTATTCTGGAGCAAGAAAAATGAAATGCAGGGCCTTCATATGCTTGAAAGCATCATGATCAGGTTTTTGTCACTCTTACAGTTGCAAATTAAGTGCAAAGAAATTGGCTCATCTAAGGAACGTTTGTGTGAGAACGGCACTCTGCTAGCTTGGGGTGGAGACTCAGTGGTCCTTGGGCTGATGTTGCACGTTGTTCTGCTTCAGGTTATTCTTACTCGTGCTGTATATTTAATATTAGTTAAAATATTTAGTTAAGTGTTAGCTGAGATTAGATTAAAATTGGAAGACCAATGAGAGTTTGTCAGACTATCAAAGCTGTATCTTGGGGCATAGTAAATATACTAGGCTGACATCAAGAAAACGTTACTAGACCTTCCATAGCCCTCCAAAATTGCTTGAGTACAATCCAGTCATTTTGGTAGAATAACTTTATCCATGTTGTTTATCCCACTGTTACCCAGTTGCCTTAATTCTGTTTTCTAACTGCTTGTGTTCCGTGCTCTTTCCCTCAGCACATTTTGTTGTAATATTCATTATTGTACCAGGACTAGAAGGAATGGGCTCTTGGCAGACAGAGAATGAAGTAGTTTGAAAATACAACATAGGAAACTGTACTAAAACATACCAAATACTGTTTGGTTTGACCCCCAGGCTGTGGGGATGTGAGCACGTCACACCTGTAATTACCAATACCTTGCTAAGCAGTTTTTCATCCTTATTTCTTTGCACCTTGAGTTGCCGCTAAAATAAAATAATGGAAATGGATGGAGCTGCTGATGAATCATCGTGACAGTGTTCACTATAAGTGGGGGTTTTGGCCAGAGTATTTCAGTCAGTAACAGGGTCCCTGTGGCACTGGCCCACTTAGACCTGCAGATAAAAATATTCTTGCTGTTTCCTTTATTTGTACTGATGTTACAACAGCTTAAATTAAAGCTTGTTTTAAGAGTAATATAATTCATCTACTTTGAAGCACTGTGGTCAGGTGGCAAGAAGAAACACAGGGATTGCTGTTAGGTGCCTGAATGCAGCAGCTGTGTTTCAGTACCCAGCGGTTTCCTCACATCCCACCTGTAACCATTGGATTAACACAGTGGAAGGGCGATACAGGGGTGTAATAGCAAAGGGACCAGCACAAATGGGATGGTGTTACAAAGGAAAAGTCCTCACCCATTTCTGAAGATCCAGGCTCACAGGAAAGACTCCACAAGGGAGGGATCTCCAACCAGAGATCTTTCCACAGTGGCAGTCAGCCATTAAATGGGATCTAAGAGAGGTGCAGGCAGGCTCCACACCTTCTGGTCACACACATGAATTGCCTTCAGCTGTGCTCCTGTTTCTTGGACCAGACTTTACATTACTTTAGAAAAGATATTGAATTATTATTTCTTGCACACAAAAAAATCAACAAATGTCTGGTAAGTGGAATTTCAATCCTTCATCCTGCATGCAGACTTCCTTATTGATTGCATTAGACGTTAGGTTACTAGGCAGCCTGCAGTCAGCCCAGCAGGTGGTTCATCTCCTCAATCTCAGGAGTTTGAGTCTATTCAAAATGTGTTGCTTGGAACCATCATTAATTACGTTTGCAAGAGCAATTACTGCTGTCTGGAAGCCATAATCTAGGAAATCTTTTTCTCAGGTTGTATACTTGAATGGCACAAATAATTGCATACTAACTATATTAGTATTTGTAATTTAATACTGCACAGGACCAGAAAATAGACTAATGTCTGACATCTTTTCTTTCAGGATGACTTTCTGTATAGTGTCTCCGTTTTAAGTGGCATCCTCTGCACTGTTTTGGCAGTAATCAAGTTTATGCTGGGCAAGGTCCTTACAAGCAGAGCACTGATAACTGATGGTGAGTGTGAATACAAACCTGTTGCACTTACAGATTCTCCCAGGGAATGTGGTAGACCCAGAGGTACAAGTGATCCCTGCACAAGGGCAGCTGGGGAAGTGTATTGAAATGAGAAAGTGGAAAAACACAGAACAGAGCAATTTTTGACCTCTGGCTTCTTACATAGATGCATCAGCTGCAATGAGTACCTCTGATGGAAGTCAAACAGTTAATGGGTAGCTAGTGAGCAATAACAGAAAAGTTAGAGAGAGCACATAATATACATTAGGTGTATATGGGCCAGAGGTTGGAGTAGTGTAGGGATATGACAACAATTTGTAGAGATTTGGCTAAGTCACATCTGTCCTCATTGCCTACACCTGGTGAGCAGGTTCATCCCTACTGCTGAAATATACAAAGTCTGCTGCAGAAAAAGTCACTCTGCTTTCAGTAGGAGTCTCAGCCATCATTCAGACTTCCTCCTGTAGAGGTAATTTGCTGCCCTGGTTCTTTTCCTGTCACCTGCCCAGTACGGCCAGTACAGTAAGACACGTGGAAAACAATGCCACTGCTTGTTGTCCTGCACCCTGCCAGGGTTTGTCACGTGGTGAAACTCAGGCAGTGCTTGGGAGCTCTCACTGCTCCGGCCCTCGGTGCAGGTGCCCAGCTGTTGCTCTTTGTAAAGGCATGTGCAAGGCATGTTTTGAGGTGAGCTCCAATACTCTTCTCACTTACAAGGCTAAAGCTTGTGGATCTTCAGAAAGCTCCAGAGGGCTGCTCTGGAAACACGTGAGCCCGTGGGAGGATGGAGATGTCACAGATCCCTACAAATCTCCATCACATGACAGTTTGAAATGTTCTGTTAGGATACACAGTACTGTGTAAATGATTCATGGATTGTGGAATGTAAATTATTTTACTCTGCTAAAAATTTCACTTTAAGGAAACTCAGTTTTAAGTTTACTCTTGGGATGCATGTAATTACTTTATCTTAAGATATTTAAACCTACTTAGTTATTTTGTGATAGATGGGAACACATACATTTTATATTGTCCCACATATAAATACTTTGTGTCTATTTATGTATGAAAATAAGCAAAAAAAGAAACAGCAGTGCAGAATGTAAAACTAAGCTCCTGCCTCTCTCTGTGTGTAGCTGCAATACACGTTGTTTCTGTTCCTTAGTCTAGATTTTCCTAGACATTTTGAATCAAAAGGATCTCCAGCCTGCAAAATGGATTCTGGAAAGGATCCTGGGAGCTGCAGACCAGTGAGTCTGCCTTATTTTGCTGTCAGTGTAAGCAGGACATGTTTGCTAGGCACATTAACCTCCACTCTTAAAAAAAAAAAGTGTGGCTTGTTTTTTAAGCAGCCAGTTTTTCAGACAAAATATTAGGTGAAAAATTCCTGAATAATTCTAGCTTTGAGTTGGGAAATTGCTTCCCTCCTAATTACATCCTTGAGCTAATTATATTGCCACTGAGCTGGAGCTTGCTCATTCTTTGATTAAAAAAATTAGGGAATAAGATATACAATTACCTTGCTCTGCTTATTACCTCTATTTTCTTCCTTCTAGGACTATTTTAGAAAACGTAGGAGGCTGCTATTACCCTGTGTACTTAAATATCTTCTTTCACAAAAAAACATTTACATATATGCTTAGTTGATTAACAACCAGGAGGAGACAGTATGATTTAATACCTGAGACAGATTTAGCACTCCCTTGCAATTCTTTTTTTAGTGTTTTCTGTTTCCTGCTAACTTACCTCCTGTGATCACTGGCTGTGTACCAGCAAACTGTATTGAGTAATTCAAGCATACATTTTTCTTTCTCAAAAATACATGCATTTTTTTCTCTTGTACATGCCAATCTCTATTAAGGAGACATATGTATATGTACGTATTTAAAGAACAGAGCTTTACAACCATAGATTTTTGAAGCCTAAATGTATTAATCCTTATGAAACAAAACGTTACTTGTACGATTTGTGTACAACAAAAGTTCATGGCCTTTTGGATAATAAAAACAGCTCTTTCCTATCTTGAATCTTGTACCATCTCAAAGAACAAATGTAGGGATGAGACAGGCAGGTCTGTCTGTAGGTTTTAGATACCCATTTCCTTCCCAGATTTTGCCACCTGTTTTTTCCTGTGCTGACCTTATGCACAGAACGTGGTGTCTGGATTCATACCTGCAGCTGCTGCATGATTTCCTGCCACCAACAAAGAAAGGTTTGCCTGAATGGAAAAGAGACAATTTCCTTTGTAAGTAGCTTTTTGATCATTTGGAAGCATCAGCCAATAATGACAAGAAGATGTCTTATTATTTCCTGACTTTTGGATATCGTGCTAATAGAATCTGGATTAAGCTGGTACATGGAACTGGCACTGGTATAAATTTATAGTGAATTAATTTCTACTTAATATATTATACATGCACAATATATATTTCATTCTCAGTAGAAGTAGTATGTTATACTTCTTGGGAATACAAACAGACTAGGCACTAACAGAGTGCTTTGGGCATATGCTGGTTTAGATATACTGGTATAATTATTCCAGTAATCAAGCATGCATATGCAAGATTTGTGATCCCAGTGGCATTACCAGTCACAAAAAATTCCAGATCCTTTTCTCGTAGCTCTGGGAGCCTGATACCTTTGTATTCCTCAATCTGCCACAGACTTGCTAAGTAACACGTGCTTTGCCATGCAAGGTTTCCTTTGGATTTAAATACCTACTGACAAAGGTCTGGTGCATCTTAAAGTATGGATGGATTATAAAAGTATTTCAGCTATAGAAGTAGTCAAGTGTTAGCTGCATCTTGGAGCAATGACTTAGTGTGGATGGGGTGGGATGTGATCAGCCTGGCTCAAAAAAGACATTCAGAAGTAAGTGTCATGCATGTGGTTGTTGGCAGACATGGAGAATTGGGCTGACTAAAGTTGACTTAACACAAAATATTGGCTATTTCAAGTTAGACTTTTTCCTTTGTCATCAAGGTATCTACCAAATGAATGCATTATCAGGGACGTTTTTTTGTTGTAGCACAGCAGCAATGCATTCTGGCTTACTGTGGAACATAAAAATCAGAAAAAGGGAGTTTGGAAACAAAAAGAATACCATCTTGAAAAATAATCTCTGAAAAATAATCATAATAACAAAGAAGAGCTGAAGGAAAAATGACACTAATCATTCTAAATCTCTGGAAAGATTTTAAAGGGACGATCTTGGAAAGGAACAGTTTAAAAAAGAGAAAGAAAGGAATCCAAAATGATGTCTATAGAATTTATGAGTAATAGATATGAATCTGTTCCTGGGATTATTGTGTGTCTTCCCTAATGCAGTCAGCGGTGCGTGCAGCTCTGAGCTATTGTGCTCAGAGAAAAACAAATATCTGGAATGGAGTAAAAACCTCTGTGATATCTGTGAACAGTTATTGTGTGAAATCATTTTCTTTTTAATGAGCATCTGGGGTATCCTGGACTCTAGCTGACTCCTGTTCAGAGAAAGGAAGAGACTTCAAGTCCCTTACTGATCTGCCTTTGATGTTCCAGTCAGGGCTCGCTGTGTGTGCTGCAGTACTAATTACCTTATGGAGATGATCTTGGGAATATCTATGCAAGGGGACAGCCAGCCAACCACTGGTTTACAGCTCAGAGGTAGTTGGTTCTGATTCGTGATGATGAGCTGCAAGAGGAAGAAATGCTGCACTGTCAGAGTCAGCATGGAGCAGAGCAGCTTTTGAAGGATTTAGCATCAAGAAAGGAAAGCTGTTTGAAACAAACAGCAGCTAGAATTAGGATTTGGAACTCAATAGGGTCATGAAAAACAGTTGGGACCAACTGAACCAAGACACCCAGTACAAGGAAATGGATGTAAACTCCTATATGAGAACAGACAAGTGCTGGAGCTTAAAAACTGGTCACACACCAGAGATTGCAAGTTTGATTTGTAGAACAGAAGCATTGCAGTCTGCTGGCTAATGGTGCAAACAAATGGCACGCAGGACACCTCACACAGGGATCTTTGCCCTCTCTGCAGTACTGGCACAAATTCAGCTTTTCTCCCTACAGGTGAACTCCTCTCATGTAACTTTGTTGAGATTTGCTTCTTCCTCTTTTTTTTTCCTTCTTTCTTTCTCTGTCTAGGCTTCAACTCTCTTGTAGGTGGAATAATGGGATTTTCCATCCTTCTTAGTGCAGAAGTCTTTAAACACAATTCTTCTGTCTGGTATCTGGATGGCAGTATAGGAGTTCTAATTGGACTTACAATATTTGCCTATGGAATCAAGTGAGTATCTCCTGCTAGTAGGTATTTCAGTATGCACTGAAGATGGACAGTCTTTTTAATGTAAAAAGTCATAGCTCCTAAATGCCTGTGTAACTCCAGTTACTGCAATTTATTAGACCAGCTGCCAACAGTGTGGCACAGCGCGTGGAAACAGACAAAAGAGTGTCTGTCTCACATCAATAGGAAAGAAGCCAGAACTTAAAAGAAATTAGAACTGTTTTAATGAGGCATTTCTTTACCTGCATTTGGAAATATAGTAATGAAACGGTTTTGGCTTCAAAACATTCAAAAAATAACCAATAATTTCAGGAGTGGTCTTACCTGTGATTTCTGTCTTATCTCCACCATGTAACAACTTTTGAACTGGAAGGTAGCCAGCTTTTTTCAAATAATGTTGTTTCTACTGAATGTTAAGATTATTTATTGACTCCAGACATCAGAAACAGAATAATATTGAATGAAGCTCTGCTATGATTTCCCTTGCCTGCAAGGAATATGAGGGTTTTGTGTTTCGTTGCTCTTTCTCCATAAGAAAAAGGGGACACGCAGCATCTTATTCAATTGGAATCATGACTGTTGAGAGGTGGACTTTGGATGCAGTAAGTTCTCAGCTGGAAGCTGTGTGTTTTTCTTCCCTTCATTGGAAAATTGGGAAACTAGCATTTTAATGGAGAATACCATTTTTGAAAAATCACTGTGATCACTATTATTTCCACTGCAAAACTAGCTGTTCTGGAAAACTATAGAGGCAAACCAGTGCTGAAGTATTTAAATGTACCAGACAGCCTCAGAAGCCTTTGGAACAGCCTCAGAAGCCATGCTGCACCCACGCCATCATTTGCTTCTGCATGGTGCCATGCATTTCTGCATAACCACTCCTGTGCTCTCCTTTGCAGGTTGCTTATTGATATGGTGCCCCGCGTACGGCAAACGCGCCACTATGAAATGTTTGAGTGAAGATCACACACCTCTTCTTTGTAAGGACTCTAAAACTTCAGCAGTTTGGGCAAGTGGTGCCAATGGTATTTTATTCAATATGCCGTTTGTTTCCCGTGGTCCGTTTTTGTTGAAGTTTGTTTTAATGGGAAATCTCTCTGTAAAATTGGCATATGTGCACACTGCTTGCAATTCCGTGAAACAGCAGCATTTTTCTTTCAATATGCTATTGATTCCTGTGACGATAGAAAACATGCAGTTTGCAGTTCTAGCCCAGCTGCCACATTGTATATTCTGAAGTGAAAGTGTTCTTAATGATGTGATAAACCTGTGGGTAAAGAAGTGCCAGTTTCAGATCTTGTTTATTTGCCCTGGCCTGTATTTTCCTAAACACATGCTGTAACAGAAGTGCAATCCTTGCTGACCTCTTTGGCTATGGAATATCCTGTTGTAAAGAGCGGACTCCAAGAGCTGTGTTGCTTTGGAACACTTACCTGGGATCTCCCTTCATCCCTTTTTAAATAGGCCCACAGAAAGAGAGGCTACAAACCTTTCTGGGATCAGAGCGGTTCTTCATCTGAGCCCTAACCTGAGCGAAGCGATACCTCTTCAACTTAAATTCTATTTTTTCTTAAGAAGACACTGTTGATTGCTTTGCATGGACCAAACAAGCACACACAGTATTACTGTACAGACCAAAGCCAAGAAGTCACGCAAGGAAGAGAAGCTGCTTGAGGAATGAGACTTTTTATTCTATTATACTTTACACAGACGTGTTGGTGTGTGTGACTGTGGTTGCTCTGTAGTCTGATGATGGCACAGCAGTGGCGCAACTGGGTGGTGAGACAGAGATCTATTTATTAGATTTAGATTGTTCTGTAAAGTGTTGCTCACCTTCCATCGCACATCTTATGTATTACTAGCAGGTTAAATTATCAAAGAAACTCGATGTATAAACAATAAAACTGGTATCTATTTTATACAATACCGTAAGTAACATTTAAAAACTATTTCCAGAATGTACCATAGGGCAAAGTCTTCCTGTATAGCAGCCTATTAAACTGGATTCTCTGGCTATATCCATTTTCTCTTTATTTTATATATTTCAGGTTGGCTTTCACAACACAGAGCCACTATATTGCTTCTGTTTATCACAGGTGGATTAAAAATAGCAGACAGTCCACTGCAGAGGTTGAAATTGGATTGTGGTAAGTAGCCAAGTAGCTAGAAACCCCCATTTTTAGCTCCTCTACAATAGATTATGTAAATGAGAGTAGATCTATAATGAGACTGTTCAGTGACTGATGTGCAGTGGGGACACTAATAGTTTACTGACGCCTTGTGTCATCTACAACCATATTTCCCTTCAAATGTCACACAGCAAGTTGTCAGCCAGGTTCCCCAGGGTCCTTATTAAAGGCAAGTTCCCACTGATGTGTGTAGGAAGAGACACCAAAAGTACAGGACAGTGTCAGTGTGAGGTGCACAGCACTTGCACAATGGCCCTTGCTGTCTCTTGAAACAGAACAGAAAAGTCTTTATTGCAAAATGAATTCTGTTCTGCTGCTACAGTTGGTTTACAGATATTTTGGATTAAGTTTATATAATTGTTTGTATACAAGCTCCTTAATATTGTGACTATCAGTGTCCTGGTGGTACTTGAGCCTTTGCTGGTGCTGGATGATGACAGACCCATCACACGTCACTCAGCATAAGATAGAAGCTCAGCACTCACCGAGACAAAGGAGGTACTTTATAAGCTTATTCAGCACAAGGATGTCTTGTACAGCAATTGTCCCTGTTTTCATTAGGTGGACTTTTAAACATCATGTACTGCCCCAAAATCCTTTCTTCATGCACAAGTTCCTAATTCCTTATGCTTAGTCCTGATATTTTCCCATTCTGTTTCTTTTCTAACTCCAAGTCCACTGAAGAGAGCCACGGAAAAGGCATCTTCCTGCTGATTGATTAACTCAGTTTTGTCAAGAATCTTCAGCACCAGAATCATAGAACCGGACCCTGAACATAGCTATATTGTGTATTTCTTATTTTTTGCTGGTTTTATTAGTACTGTTTACCCTTTTCCACCTCTCTTGCTTCTGTAGTCCCAGCATCAGTCACTTAGTGACAATTAGGAACTGCCCAAAGCACTGCTCTGCAGGGCTGTGCGCTACAGCAGCCAGGTTCTAGCACAGACCAGCACCCAGAAGAGCAGCAAGAAGGTAAAACAGGTTGTGGTGAGACACCTAAGTGCAGTGAGCTTGGTGGCACAGAACTCCTACTTCGTGGACAGAACGTAGGACATCAAACCAGCTCACATTTTAAAGCAGCCTGTTAAAATACTGAGTGCAATGTGTGCACAGGGACCTTTGGCTGTGTTCATCCATGAAGCAAAGCTGAGGGAATCCTCTTTTCTAGTTGGTGGTTGTAAGTGCAGACTCCAGCTGCACAGCCCTTGAAAATGAGAGGTGGTTGAACAAGCTCATACTTTTCTTATCACAGTAACATAAACCAAATGCAGAAGTTTTCCAGTTACCATGGATGCTTCAAAGCACTTCTGGTATTAGCAGGTTAATTCAAGAAAATAAGTAAAATACTTGAGACTTCAAAGGAAAAAGACCAGGCAATAGTGATGCACAGAAGTGAGCACAGATCCATACTGCCATACTTTTTATGGCTCATTACAATTGAAATGAAAATAAATGCTTATCCAGTTTACCAGAATGCTCTGCTCCAGCCAGACACCCTCAAAGGTAAAATTTTCAATAGTAGCTTTCTTTGTTACCTGTCTGTGCCAGCCGCTCTGTAATTATGAGATAACAAGCAGGTTCCAGCCACACTCACTGAAGGTGGAACTTCCCACAGCAGGGGTAGCCTGGGACCACTTGGATCACCTCAACCTTGGTACTGCCCAACACAGCATAGGTGACTGCAAGCTTGTCAAACTGACAGATGCTCTCGGTTGTGCAGAGGGCAAAGAGAATGAAGCTCATACATGAAACAGCACAGAGTGCAAACTGATACTAAAGCACATCCAAACTCAGAGTTGTGAATCCCTGAAAATGTCAGTGAATCTCAGTTGAGGCTTTGAATTTATCCATGTAGTACAGCAGAGAAGGAAGCTATCAAAACCCCACACCATGCTTTGCACGTGCCAGGTACCAGGCATGAGGTGTATTTTGCATACCTTCATTGTTAGGCAGTGGAAATTGATAGTGTTCCACCTCTGGCTGAAAGCCAGGTTTTTGAGCCCAGAAATTATCAAACTAGAATCCCTTGCCAATTCAGTCCACTTCTAGCCTTGTAGGTAAGCCATAAATAACCAGCATTCAACCACCATCTGAAAATGATGTTGCAGAACTGGACTTGAAGACCACAGACAGGCGCTTCCTCAGACAACGTCAAATTAAGCTCTCAGTATGCACACCTCTGAGCTCTCCTCACTAATGATAATACCATTTGCATTTCTGCAATCTCAGCTGCCTGGGAGCACATAGACATTTCTGGGAGCCAGAGAGGTAAGGAAGCATTGAAGCTACTGGCCAAACGCTATCCCTGATACACTGATCTGTGAGAATACCTCATCCTGGACTTGCAAGTGTTTCACTGTGCTCACAGCACTTTTAATTTCTCAGCACTGCTTTCAGGTATGTGCTGCTGCTATGTTACATGCACTGCCATGCAGCAGTATTGTTATAAAGCACTGTGCTGACACGCACTGCTCATCAGGCATCAGAACTGAGACAGGAGAGGCACAAACTCACATTCCTGTGGGTCCAGGTTATGCAACTGGAGAGTAATTAAACACCAGCCAATCAAGGGACCTGTCCTGCTGCTCCCACACCTGGGAGCAGGATGCTTTCCCACTCCTGTCAGCCCCAGGATGAGCCTGTGGGGAGGCAGCGACCAGTTCCTGCATGTTACCTGTTCCACGCTATCAGCTGCATGCTGGGGTTGGCACCGCTGAGCCTCAGGCAGAACTTGGGAGCAGAATCATGGTGGCACTGCATGGACAGCCAGGAGCGACGCAGGCATCAGCAAGAACATCAGCTGGAGAGCTGAAAGTGCATTTGATAGAAAGCCTTTGCAGAAGAGTTTGTTTTGCAGGTAGTTCTGTACTCTGGATGCAGTGTGCAGCCAGCGTCCACAATCTTCCTTTGGGCTGAAAATTATTAGGAAGTATGTCTAACTATTGGAGAGGGAAAGTTGCCCTCCTGAAATGAATCTTGATTTTATCTGTCTTTAAATCTAATTTAGATTTAGAACAAACCAAAACAAAGATAAAGTGTCCTTTCTTACCACTGGGATGTGGGCCGTGCTTCTGCTGCGTGGGCAGCTGCGGGCTGCGGATTGTCACACAGATGCAACTCTGGATCCGTGGCAGCTCACAGATTTGCCATTTATGCACAAAGCAATCATAGATCCAAATCACACAAGAAAAAGGTTTATTGAAAAATAAAGTTCTCCCTAGTTTTTTTTTTTTCTACAACAGTGAAAACAAAGCATTTTTCTATGCCATTAAAGTACAGACATTTACGTTTCTAAAAAAAATAAAATAATCTTATCCTATTGAACCCCAGTAACTTGACAGTATCTGAATCACTGTGTTCTCATCTTTCCAAATCAAACTGTTTGAATGCAATATAGTGGAACACAACCATTCAAATAAAGACTTTAGCAGAGATTTCCAACTGAACACACACAGTAACCAGCCTGACCCTGAAGTTCTTACAAAACTATAAAAACTCCAACTCCAAATTATTTTCCACAAAAAGCAGCCTTTGTTTTTACAGATTTCAGCAGGTTTTTGTTTGATTTCTCCCCTTACAGTGCTACAGGGATTAGAATTTTCTAGCCTTTCCCTATGGAGATGCCTCCAGGGAAGGAATGAGACCAGAAAGCAGAGAGCTGCTCTGTGTCACCCTGCTGCGCTCAGCCAGAGAGAGAACTCAGCTCAACCCAGCAGAGTGAGCATTCCTTTAAGTTTTATATTTCTCTTGTTGCAATCTGCAGGGTAAGTTTTCTCAGAAAATTGACTCCCTTTTCCTTCAGCTAAAAACGGCCATTTCCTCCTCCTCTGCCGTATTCCTTTGTGAAAACTAAATAAAATGGTTTTCACTGTCACCATATTACAGCAAGCTTGTTAATGAGCATAACAAATGAGTCCTGGGTATAACCCTATTCAAACAAACTGCCCTCAGACGGCCATTCAGCATGATTTACCGTGTACCTGTGTGACACCGGGAACGGCTGCAGTTCTGCCGGGAGCTGGGCCGGGCCGTGTGACACACACTGCAGCGTGGGGAAGGAGGAGTTACAACTCCTTTTATCAGCGCTTTGAGGACCTGGCTTTATTTACCCATTTAATAAGCAGGTTGCGTCGTGCTATTGGGAGAGGTCTGCAGAATCAGAGCCCAACACTAGTTTTAATTAAATGAGTGTGTAAAGGATGACTCACGTGGAAGCTGCGCTTTGTTACTTTTCCCTGGAAGAAAGAACACGAGCAATGCCACACAGCTCAGGTTCAGCCTCTGCAATTTTCAACACATCCCTACAGTAAACATTTTATACTTGATACATGGAGTTTGCTGTTTACACATTCCATTTAAATATAATATTTGGAACTTACAAACTAACTTAAAAAAACCAACAACTCCAGAGCTACTTAAAAATATGAAGACAAGATTTAAGTCACTGACCATTAAACAAAATGTTTTAACACTACAGTACAGCAGTGTTATTAAAGCATACTTAAATGAAACCTGTCCCTGGCCTTTCCAGCCTGACCAGAAGCCCATATCAGCCAGTGCACCGTTCTCAACTTTACAGTGGTGCCTGAACTGTTGGGGAAAAGGAGAACCACAAATGGAAACCAATCCTAAGTCAAAAGCTGAAGGCAAAGCAGCTGCTGGGAAAATGTCACACAGAGCCATGGCAAAAAGTTAGCACCCCTCAAAAAAAGGCTTTAAAGTCGAAAATGATAACTGATATTCTCTTTAAAACAAACAATCAAAACAAAACTAGATTCTAGCACTCCAAAATGCAGAGTGGACAGTTATTTAACCAGGTTCTGAACC